GACTGCTTGGCTGCGACTCACTTCTTGTCTAGACTCTTGTTTGGGATCTGACTTCTTGATTCACTGATTCCTGTGCTTCCTTCAGCACTGGTACTCAAATTCTCTCTCTTACACACACTACCCTTTAGGTCTTGTACGGCCGCTTTTATATCTGGTGGGTGGTTGGGTGGTGAGTCCCTCTCTTAGTCTCTCGGTTTCGGGAGGAGTGGAGAAGGCAATAAAGTATTAATTGGTCCGTTTGTTTCTTCTGATTTTCCTCGCTGGATTTTCGGGCCCTGATTGGAGCGGGGGCGTGGAGAAAAGTGGGCGTGGACGCAAGGGTACAGGCCTTAGCTCATGAGATGGCTTCTCGAGTATCATTCACAGCCAAGATTTTTTTAAAATAATAAAATTTAATAAAAAATAGAGTGATGCCTATTATCTCGCACGCTAGGCTGTGTAGATTAATTTCTTATAAAAAGTTTACTAAGTAACATTGAATTCATTAAAATTAACGTATTATTTTATATTTTTCTATTTTCTGCTTAAAACTAAGCTCCGGAGCGAAAACTCGATAAGAGGTTTTGAGAGGCCAAAATTATTTCTGACATATTGCTGAAGTTAAAATATTCAAATACAAAAAAAATTATATCATAAATTCTAATGCCTAATTTCTAACTTTAAAGGGAAAAATTCGTTAGTCATGATGAGAACAGGATGCAGACGCGGTTATATGGCCCTCTTCTTTTATCGGCATCCCGGCGCCCACGTGTTCGGAGGCTGCATGCACTTTGTATGCCAGTGCGAGGGCGCGAGGGGCGGAATAGCGTAATAAAAAAAGGAATGCACGCTTACATAATTTTGGACTATAGATTTTATTGCCGTTTGGAGAATGTCAAGGAAAATTTCCCTGTGACATTTGACTCGGTTCCCATAGCTCATGGGAAACGGTTTAAACTCCGTCGTTGGTTTTAAGAACTAAATACTAAGAAAAACTTATTCCCTTGAAATTTGAAATCATATGGCCCATCATCACACTTGTATTGGTTTTTAGAAATGACTTCAATTCATTAAAAATTCAGTTTTATGCACGTCATGTAATTTGTATATGGCTGAGAGTAGTCGCTTGTTTTTATTTTCCATGGTTATCTTTGTGGTTAGTATTTTGAGGTTGTTATGTTGTATTACTTCTGTGTATTCTTTTATATCATTTCTAGTAGTAATATATAGTAATACTAGTAATAGTAGTAATATATATATATATATATATATATATATATATATATATGACTACTCCAACGGTAACTTTGTTTTTTTTTAAATGAAAACCTCTATTTGTTATCCCGGATTCGGATAGAGCGGGAAATTTTACGTTCAAATCACGTAATATGTGTAGGATCCAAACGACCCCCGCCGCACCTCTAAAATCATTTCAAGGTCAATCTTACTTTTTAAATGGGACCCCTCATTTTTCGTCGCAGGTTTGAATTCTACGTGAAATTGTACTCAGATGATGGGATATTTATAGGGTCCGAAAGAAAGAGAGAGAGAGAGAGAGAGAGAGAGAGAGAGAGAGAGAGAGAGAGAGAGAGAGAGAGAGAGAGAGAGAGAGAGAGAGAGAGAGAGAGAGAGCGCTCGAATTACGGATCACCGCGGAAAATTCGAGAGAGTCTCTGCTAGGCTGTGTGCAGAGAAAGTAGCGCGCGCGGATTGAACCGAAGACCATGGTTTTTCCGGAGTTGGCCTCGCGACCTCGTCGACGTCTTTTCGTTTTCGAATATACTTCACCACTGATTTATATGCGTGGGTGACTACCGTGCTTATTTAATTGTACTCGTATGCTGCAACGGTAATCTATTATAAATATCGACTCGTTTGCGATTCGACAACACTCGAGGTGCGAAAGCGAGCGATTAGGAGAGAGTGAGAGGGCACGCGCGAGGGTGTTCGATAGATGAAGCGCGCGAAGACTATGATCTGATTCGTCAGCTGGTGAGGCTGTGTATTGGAAAAATAGACTTTGTCATTGGCGAAAGTAAGCCGAGGAAAAAAAGCACAAGCACACGAAGATAACACCAGTGTCAAGGCAGCAGAGGCATTTAGAATGAGACACAACTATTAGCGACAACTGCAGAGCAGTAGCAGCAGCGGCTTGACCCGGAGTATCCGACGACAGAAAGTTGGTTCGCTCGGTTACGGTTGATCACCCTAACCGCAAATCACGATAGGTGCACCTATTAGTATCTGCGATATACATCTAAGCTTGTACCGCGTGAATAATTTGATGCATGCGCCGAATAACCCTTCCGATAGTCGTGCTTAACGTTACTCCGCATATTATTTATACTTTTTTTCTCTCTCTCTCTCTCTCTCCGGATTATATTATAAAACAACACACGAGCGAAAGTCTTTCGACCCATGTAAAGACTGTCCGCTTTAATACAATTTAAAGGATTTAGGATAATTCACCGCCTTGTGATATTTTACTCCTTGCTCATCGTTAAATCTAATTCCCATAATTTGAACCGATTTTATCTAGGGGATTGTGGAAAGTAAACAACAGCCCTTTTACACAATACGAACGACAAGAGTCATCTTTTTTTTTGGTATAGGTTACTTGAATTGACTTCGTTTTATTAATTGTAATCCTCCATTTATTGAACCAGTTTAAAGCTCCATCCAGATATTTCTGCATATTTTATGAGGCTGTTATTTCATCAGTATGTGATATTAATATAGATGTATTGTCTAGGTATGTGGCGATGTTAACATTTTCCGTGATAGGGAGATTATGGATGTACGAGGTGTGTTCAAAAAGTAAGGTGACTTTGTATTTTTAAGAAAAAATATTTATTTATTTATCAATATTTATGTTGTCGCCTTCAAAGTAATCCCCCTCAGATACAATACACTTATGCCAACGATTTTTCCAATCCTCAAAGCACTTCTCATAAGCACTTTTCGGTATAGCCTTGAGCTCTTCCAGCGATGCAGTATTTATCTCTTCAATCGTTGCAAATCTCCTTCCTTTTATAGGTCTCTTTAATTTTGGGAACAAGAAAAAGTCACATGGGGCCAAATCCGGTGAATATGGTGGCTGAGGCATGATTGTGGTGTTGTTTTTGGCCAAAAAATCTCTCACAAGCAAAGATGAGTGAGCAGGGGCATTATCGTGATGCAAAAGCCATGAATTGTTTTTCCACAATTCTAGGCGTTTTCTTCGTATTGCTTCTCGCAAACGGCGCATAACTTCAAGATAATACTGTTTATTGACCATAAGTCCATATAGTAAGAACTCCTGATGCACCACGTCATGGTAATCGTAGAAAACAGTGAGCAAAACTTTGACATTTGATCGAACTTGGCGTGCTTTTTTCGGTCTTGGTTCATCTGGGCTCTTCCATTGGGACGATTGGACTTTGGTTTCGATATCATAACCATATACCCATGATTCGTCACCAGTTATGGACCCTTTTGAGTAAATCTGGGTCGTCGTTGACGTCATTCAACAGTTCTTGAGCGATGCTCATGCGACGGTTCTTTTGGTCAAAATTTAGCAATTTCGGAACAAACTTCGCTGACACACGTCTCATGCCCAAAACGTTAGAAAAAATTTCATGGCACGAGCCAAGCGATATACCAACATCCTCAGTAACTTCTCTGATAGTGATTCGACGATTTTCCAGAACAATTTTCTTCACTGCTTGAACGTTTTCATCAGTTGTTGACGTGCTTGGGCGTCCAGAGTGAGGCTCGTCATTGTCATCTTCCCGGCGGCCATCTTGGAAGAGTTTGTACCACTTGTAAACATTTTTTTTACTCAGAACAGTTTCACCGTATGCCACCGTCAACATTTCAAGTGTTTCGGAGCAATTTATTTTATTTTTTACACAAAATTTGATGCAAATCCTTTGATCTATATTTTTCGATAGCAAGAAATCGCCGAGCACGCAAAACACTTATAACCTTTACGCCTCTCACAACTAAACAAAAAATGCTATACACTTGAAACTTGGTACAGATATTCGGGAAGAGACCAACATAACAAAACAAAAAAATCGATAATCGAAAGTACGTTGCCCGTGAAATTTGAAAAGTCACCTTACTTTTTGAACACACCTCGTATATTAAGAATAATAACGAATAATAAGAATAATAATAGATGACCAAGAACACTTTGAGGGACGCCGGCTTATATTCGGTGGAATTCAGTAGTTTCATTATTTATTCGTATCTTAATTGTTCTAGAATTTAGGGAACATCCACCATAAGCCACATGGTTCCATTGTAAAGGGAGAGTCATTTTTTTATAATTAATATTTGCCCGCGAATCTATTTACCTAATTCTTTTCGTGGGCATTCAGGAGACAAAATGACGTCGGCTACTGAGTAACCTGCCAGGCTTGCAGGTTCCGACGCTCGCATGCGAGAAAGCTTGGCATGGGAAACAAAAAAAAGTAAAACTCCAAACCTAGGATTTTAAATTCTAATACCGACAATTTATCTAATTACAAAAAAAATAAAATAAAATTACAATTTTAATTAAAAAAGAAAAAAATAACAAAGAATATATACACTAATAATAATAAAAAAGTTTTTCTTTCCATTTAGATATGACGTGATGCTTATTATGAATCAATGAATTTGACTAGTTGCCCTAACATAACTATGCCTATAGGTGAGGTAGCGCCTTAGTCTAGACAGCGTTTTTCCTCATTTTCGAGTATATGTGCAGTAAGACGAAAACAATGATTCAGGTTAGACTGGATTGTTATAGTTTGAATAACTGTGATTTTACCAAAACATACTTATTTGTGATTTCAATAAAACATACATATTTTCGACAAAAGAACCGAAAATTTTTAATTCAGTGGTTCATAATACACAAAAATCACCCTTTATTTTTTTTGATATATTATTGCATTCAAGAATATAACCAGTACTCAAGTTATACACATCATTACCACTGCAGTGTATACTCGCAAAGGAGTGAGATAGAACTGTTGAACCTTTATTTGCAGATTCAGAACAGTCACCTGGGGCGTACTTGAGGGATGATCCAGTACTTGGTACGTTACAGTTGCACCAGCATAGTGAACTGAGAGCACCGACGGCTGAGCGTGCGGCATTATATCTGGACGCAGCGATCGCTGCTCGACAACGTGATGACAACGACGCACATATGCTATTCACGCTGCACGTGTACCAGTACAGTGTCGCCGGAAAGGGAGGTATGTATGTTTACTTCATGAATTGCTCAAACAATCATATTAACACCCTGATCATTTATGGATATAGTGGCCGGTGGACACAGCAGGCTGCACCTGATTGAGATTGGCAATTCAGAGCGTGGTAAGTCGTCTGGGGGTATCCCGCTTTCAGGCCTGGGAAATATTTTATTAGCCATCTTAAACGGTCAAAAGCACCTGCCCTATAAGGAGCACAAACTCGCTCAGTTGCTAAAGGACTGTCTGGGCCCGCTCACCTGCCACGCTACTATGATCGCCCACGTATCTCCCTCATGCCAGCACTACAGTGAGACCCTAATAACCTGTCAGTTGGCTTCGCGCATCCATCGAATGCGTCGGCGTAAGATTCGTTTCGCAGCTTATCAACAGCAACAACAGGTCGAGGATTTGGTGACCAAGCAGCTGTATCCTAGCAGCGAGTGTGAGCCGAGCTCAAGCGACCTTTCAGCAGACACTGTTATTTACGTGGGCCCAAGCGCCGATGATGCCACTGATGGGGAGCATCCGCCGGTCTATATACCAAGCCTTAATTCCGGCGACAACAGGTGCGCTATGAACAGAGTGCTGCGCGGCTCTGCGGTTGAGAAACCCGCAAGAATCGACGAGGAACGCAGTCCCGTGCACAAGCCCGCTAAGTTAGCCAAACAGATGAGCTCGCCTTCTCATGGCTCCACGCCCAAGGCTAGTCCGGCACGCAAACCCGTTTCTAAGCTAGCTCAGGCGCAGGTTCAAGTTTCGACCTCGCCGCCGAGCTCGAAAGCACTACCATCGACATTGACTCCAGCCACCACCGGCACCTCTGATGAGCAGTGGATAGACGGTCCGAGGATTTCAAGACTACGGGTGGCCGAAGCCCGTCATCTACTCAGCGATGCGACGCACAAACGCGAGACCTGGATTGATGGACCTATGCAGCAGCAACAACATCAACAGCAATACCACCATTCACATCATCACCATCAACTTCAACAACAATTAGCAATGCCGAGTGCCAGCTACGGCTATATGGACAGCTACAAAAAGAGTGTAATACGGAAGTGGGTGGAGAACCAATCATCGCAGATTCAACGAAAGCAGGTGTCACAATTCATGGCCAGCTCGATGCGTCAAGGTATGGCTGCGCATCTCCGAAACTGCGCTACCAGCGGTAGCAGCACTGGTGGCGGCGATGACGATGATACCTCCCTGTCCACCAGTGCTAGCGAAAGCCTCAAGGTCAGCGAGATCGAGGACATAACGGACAAAATCGGAGCTAGACTTAACCTCCTTAACGTTAAGTCCAACACGAATGCTGATCTCGATCTAACAGGCAGCCCGCTTATGGACAGTCTTGAGCAGCTTAGTAGAACTCTGGACATACTCCAGGACGAGGACGAGGATGATGACGAGGACATCATCGTACCGCCGCCGCTTCCACTCATCGAGCCACTTAGTAATGGAGTTAGCCGTGAGGTTTCACTCGAGAGTTTGAATCTCTCGCACAAGGATCATGTTTCTCTCCAACCGGATAGAAATTCAAGAAACTCCATGTCCTCCGAAGATGAAATTTTGGAGATTATAGAAGTGGATAGCACTCAACAAGCTCCGATGCAGGACTCTTGTTTGCAGGTCACCGAAGAGGATATCGCGCTATGCATGGGAGACCGCATATCAACGGCTAACAGCATGCATGATGAGCATCCCCTTAGGATACTTAGCCAAGAAAATCTCACCATTGTTTCGACTCTCACTGGTAATACTCTTACTGCTCTTTTTTTAATTTAATGCTTTATTGTCTCATTATAATTATTCAGTTATACAAATTATTGAAAAGTATAAATCTTATATAATATTTGTTATACGTTGACAATTACATTACTGATATCACAAAATACAGATATAACGATGATTGAAGTTACATTAATTATATTTTATTATCTGCTTTACATATAAATATATGGATTATGTGCATAACTGATAAAACAGGTTTGCTTAAATAATTTTTGACGTTATAAAGTGGCAATTGTTTTAATCTAATAAGGAAATTTCCCGACTCGACCTTACCAATTTTAATAATTTTTTGATATGTTATAGTACTTGACAAAATAACAGACACGTATTTTTCTTTTTGTGCCGACATCCACTTTTAAGAAAACCATCCCTATATCTTACACCCAAAATGATTTTTTCATTATATCTCAGCATCTAATGAATATTTTTTAATAAAACCAAGTGTAAAATATTTCTTGTAAGAGATCAGAGATATTAGGCATATCTATGGCTCAGAGGGTTACAACCTTTATTTTATCTTTTTTTTAAAACTGAATTTTTATTAATTTTTTTTCTTTAAAATCAAGCTATGAACTCAAAAATTTGAAAAAAGTATTTCTGTTGACCATATCAAATATTTAAGTTAACGTTTTTCAAGAGTTTTTAATTAGCCATCCTCGAGCACCGCTAATCACCCTTACAGAATGTATATCTTATGTAAGTGATAAAAAATTAAATTTTTCTTTAAAATACTTTGTGACGGTAAACGTCCGGTTTGCGCTACCGTCTCGATCGCGTCGCTACCCGCGAGGGCAGCACCTACCGGCCCGAGCAAATCGAAAACGGGAACGCGGTCCGAAATGGGAAAGAACGCGCGCGAAGAGAAAAGGACCAGTGGGAGAGCGCCTCCGACACCGGTAACAGCGTGCAGGAGTCCAGGAGCACTAACACTAGTGTTATGCGGCTATCCGAAAGTCGCGAATAGCGTAGCCAAATCTAGAAGTGCCTCTATCACCGGCAACGACGTGTGTACGTGTGAACACTACAAGGAGCGTGAACGTTAACCGGCCGATAGTTCTTTGTTGCTGCTGCGAATTCGAGTAGCCAGCCGAGACGCCATCGGAGGCCATCCACGAGGTTGCTGGACCCGTCCAACGGAAGCAGCACGACGACAGTGAGAGCCTCGTGTTTAAGCGTTATAGTGGCAACCTGAGCCACGCGCTAAACTATGATATTGAACTGCTCCCCTTGACAGCGCATAAGGTAAGCTGGCCAGCTTCGCGATATTGTTTTCGATAAGTGACCGCGCGTAACATCTTAGCTCTCCCCTCACACCGGCGACTAAAAGGAAATGAGTAAGCGAACGATTGTAAATAAATTGACGATACGTAAGATTGTCGCGCACACCGTATAAGCGTAGAGGCGCGGGCCAAGTGCGTTGTAGATTACGTGATAAATAAATTAGTCCATGTATGATTGAAACGTTAATCTATTGTTGTCTTTATTATTAGTAGTAAGTTGGTTGACTGATCCCCGTTCCCTCCTGCTCTTCGGTTAGCAAACGAGAATGTTTCAATTTCGCCTCGCGCATTCCGGTACGATTGCGTGTCGAGCGAAATAATAAAATAAGAACGGATTAATCACCCCGTTACAACTTATACCTATTTAATAAATTAATGAATTATAATGTTTTTAAGGCTATATTAGAAAGTTCTATAATTATTATCATCTCTATTACAATCACTTGTATAATAATAATTATTATTTCTAATTATAACAGGACCACAAAAACTCCTACGTAGTCTACTTGGGCTTCCGTGAGTGTATTGTATGTTTTTCAAGCCGCTGATGGCAAATATTTTATCAAAATTGCTCTAGAATGTCAGGATTCCATAATTATTATTGTTTTATATAAAAGTCGTGATTCTAAAGAGCATTACCCTCTAACTATGAAGAAATAAAACATCATTATTATATTTAATTAAACTATTACAATTTAAAAAAATGAAAATATTAATATATACTGTAACGGGGTCAGTGCTCCGTCTTTTTATTTATGCGCGCGATCGCGTCGAAGAGCGTGTGGGAATGTCGGAATGTTCAAACTCGTCAACTGGAGAGCAGGAGGGAACGGGAGTCAGTCAACCAACCTTCTACCGGCGAGAAATAATAACATCAAAATTATAATCAGTATCACATGCGAGATCGTTTATTTTCCCTTTTCTCTACAATATACTCGGCCCGCGTGTTTACGTTTACAAAGCGCGTGCGCGTCAATAACATGCAGTTTCGGAGCGTTCGCACCTCTTTGTTCGTCGAGTTAATACATGCACGCTTCTTACTGAGTACGAGAGGTTAGTTATTAGCAATCTTACAGGAAATCGCGATACTAAGCTGGCCAGTTTACCTTATCAACAGTCGCGCAATCAACAAGAGAAGTAGAAAGTACCCGCACAGCGCATGCTAGTCTCGGGAATTGTTTGCGGGCGAGGTGTCTCGCGCTTTTCGGCTTCGCCCTCGATGGCGAAACCCTCCACTCACGCACGTTCACACACACTCGCTCTCGTTGGACCAAGGCTCAGCTCCTCTCGATGAGTCCGTCAACTCGGCTCGGTACTCCCCAAAACTCGGGAAACTTCTTTTTATCCCTCACTACAGCTAGACACTCGGATTGCTGATCCTCGACTAGTTCATTTATATTCGCGCGCGTTCCGTTCCGTCTCGTACCGAATTCCCTTATTACATTTTCCTCCAACCGGTAGGTGCTGCCCTCGCGGGCAGCCGCATGGTTGGGCTGATAGCGCTAATAGGACGTTTACCGTCACAATACTTATGGTGAATTAACGATAAAAGTGATATTTATAAATTTTATCTTGTTTCTAGAATGTTGAACAAATCTATCTCATCGATACGCTAGTATCTCGAGCAGATAGGCTGATCATACTCGTATTATTTATGGCTTGTAGGAAAGAATTTACTCAACTTATCATTACACAGATTTTCATGGTTTTGTTGTTGGCCAACTGAGGATCGTTTCCAGAGTAATTTTATGCGTAAAATTCGAATTCTGAACCAGAATTTGTCCATCATGTCAGATTTTTATATATCCTAATTTAAAAGGGTAAAATAGCGGTTTGTTGGTATATTTGAGGTCTCGTATTATCGTGGAAAAATTATATTCCTGTAAACAAGGAGAACTGTTTGGAAGGTTTACTTTTACCTTTTAAAATCCATTTCTAAGATTTTAAATGTCTTTTTTTTTGTCACCGAGATATCATTGATTGAATACAGGTAAAATTTTTGAAATGTACCAAAGATAAAAAAAATTATAACTCATTCAATATCAAATGCCTGTATATTTACTTCTTCATCTCTATTTGTACGAAAATTGCGATTTAAATAAAAAAACCTAACATTTATCTATAACTTATATCTCAAAGTTTTTATATTATACAGGGTGACCCATTTTAATCGCTACACCTGGATTTTTCGAATTCCAAGACAGATAGGAAAAAATAGTTCAGACAAAAGTTGTAGGGGACGAAGAGGGCCAAACAATGGTGCTAACAAATTTGACCTTGAACTTGACATTCAAGGTTATTTCAAGGTCAAGTGGTTTTTTTGAATAGGAACACCTATTTTTGACCCCGGATTCGGAAAGAGCGGAAAATTTCACGTTCAAAACCATATTGAGACATTTTTTTCACGGTCATTTCAAGGTCAAATCAAGGTCAAACTCCGAAAAATCCATTTTAAGTCGTTTTTCCACGAGTCACAGGCTTAAGTGGTTCAAACTGATCGTAAATTTAGTTACATCACTTAATTAAAGTAAGTCCCTTCGCCTCACACTGTACGGCGTGCTTGATTTAAGTGAGTCCCTTCGCCCCTACCTTGAAATACTGATTTCCGATTGTCGCACCACGATAATTACTTCAGCTTTCTCCTAAAAGTAACGTCGTGTCAATAATCTTTTCAGGCTGATAGTCAACCATTTAAGAGCCAGCCATTAATTACTATTAAATTTAAATAGTAAAATGGTATCAAAAATATTAATAATTATAATATTCGCCTGTATGTGGTTGCGACTAAAAAAGAAAAACGTTTGTCACACTTTATTAATTGTAAATTTTATAAAAAACTAATTTGATGCTTTTTGTAAAAAACAGAAATGTTGTATCTATTTATTTTTTCGAAAGTTATGAGAAAATTGAAGATATGAGCTGTAAATAATGTGATTGTTTAAAAAGAATAGTCATAACTTTCGAAACAATAAATATGCAACATTTCTTTTTTGTACAAAAAGCATCAAAGCTATTTTTTCTAGAATCAAACTATCAAAAATAAAGTTTAATATTAAAAATGTGCGGAAAATATTAAAATCGGTCAGCAGTTCAGATATTATTACAAGAATCTTTGACTGAACAGAATTTATTTGTAAATGTGCTTTTAATGATTACATTATCAATATTAGTATTTTTTAAGTTTGAACGGAAATAATTCACAATATTTAAAATAAAAGCAAGTTTTAGTATTATGTGCAATTCAAATTAGAAATAATTTAATGATTATTACTTTATTATAAAACTTACAATTACAAAAGTGTGACAATCGGAACACTTGTGGCAAATACACTTAGTCAGATAAAGTTACCGTAATCTAGGAACATATTTCTTTTTTGGTCGCGACCGTATACGGGTGAATATTATAATTATTAATTTTTTTATACCATTTCACTATTCAAATTTAATAATAATTAATAGCTGCCTCTGAAATGGCTGACTACGCGCCCAACGAGATCGTTGACATGACGTTGGCTTTAGGAGAAAGCCGAAATAATTATCGTGCTGCGGCAAGAATTTATACTGAACGCTATCAAGACAGACGACACCCCGAAGCTATGGCTATCAGACGTTTAACTCAAAGAGCTCGTGGTGGACACATGGTTCGTCAACGTGGGAGCCATCAATATGATGAAAATGATAA